GATTTACAAGTAAGTACATGTGTAGTCAATTGCACAACCTTCCCATTTGGGTTATTAGCTGTACATCTGAGGCCAAATGATAAAAAGAACACTCCTATGGACCTAGAATAATCTCTAGAGATTTTACTGTCATGAAATTAAAGATGAGCTGGCTGTTTCTGAATATTTGACATGGCATTCCAGGTCACTGAGATGGCTTTCTGTGACTGTGCAAAGAACTGTGTATTGTTTTAGGGCTTGAAAGTGTGGTTAATAACAAGCCGATATATCTCAAGACCAGGATCATGCTGCTAAACGCCTATAACTCAAGATAATGTACTTACACAGTTATTCTATTAACCACAACATTGAAAACGTAAGTACAAGATGGCAGGCATATTCTTAAGAATATGTTAGATAAGTGATGTTAGAAAAATACAGTGATCAGAACTCAACCTTGGGGAATTTACACAATGGATGAAAAAGTCAGGAACCTTATAGAACATCAAATTTCACTCTTGTGCTTTTATGAATTGCAGCAAATGTGTCACTGGTGTATTAATATAAATTAGATATGCACTTTTAGAATATCAGCTATAGAATCTTAGAATTGACTCTTCCCTAGGAACTTTCTCAGGGCCTGGATTACTCTAAGCATTGTTCCAGGAGTTTAAGCAAGGAGAATAAGAGCCTTAAGGAGTCTGTCATCTAATGGTGGCCGGTAGAGGCTTGCATCTTTCAGACCAGAGCAAAGTATCTTATGGCATATACGCTATGCAGTTCTCTATTTCACTTTCTCTGTCATGGCTACCCTACCACTGCTGTCTCCTGTCTCAGGGGGAGTGGAAGGCATTGCAAAGAAGAAAAGGCAACAAGAATGGAGTTAGGAGACTGCAGAGAAGGAGACCACCATCCTGCCTCTAGGTTCAGGAGGATTACCTAGACCTGAACTGAGAACAGCTCTCCAGAACTAAGGGAAAGAAGATTGACTATGGTAGACTAGTGGGAGGATGAAAGTAATTATGGGCAAGCCTTGTGGAGCCCTGAAGCTCAATTCTGGGAGGGTAATGGGTCTTCACAGCAGCTGGACAATGATAGTAAGCAGGGAGTAACTGAGGCCACAAGTAGCTCAGAAAACCCTCACCACCTGATTGGCTTACCACATGGAAAAGCCTGGACTTCCCCTCATCACCCATTCAGCCACAGTGATCCCAAATCATAAGAAAAGATGACAGCCACTACACTGGAACTCTTTCTTGGAACCTCACTCCTCTTCAAGTCTCTACAATTTTCCTGATAGCTCTCAGTAGATTGTGTAGTATAGCTCCTCCCCACGAGGCCTCCATTCGTATACCCATTATTCCATGACCACTCCCCAATAGCTGACAGATTGTGATTGAGGGGAAATAGATCAAAGTGAGGTTGTTCTTAAAAGCAAACACCTTCTGTTTCTTTAAAACTTCAGGGCCATGCAGAGAAAACAAAACAAAAACTAACAACAACAACAAAAAATTGTCTGACTCAGAATTTTGATTGGAGAACAAGCCTTAAATCTTTAAAGCAGGCTCTGGAGACTTTCAGTATTTAGGGTACTTGTGGATGTCTTTTTTATTCTTTAATAGGATTTGCTTTTGAAACCCAAGTCTAGGGTTAATTATCTTGAAATACTCTAATCTCTCTACCCTTGCATTTAAAAATGCAAGCAGAGGGGCATTTTATAATTATGAAGAGAATGCCTTGAAAAATTTGATTTTAGTCCTAGCCAAGTTGGTTTTCTTTTCAGAAATATTGAAATTGAATATTAGAACTGGAGGCTCCTTCTACAATACTCCCACCTAATGCCACCAAAATAGGACTTAAGGAATAATTTCTAAGACAAGCTACTATATGAAATATGCAGTTTTCCCCTGGTGGGAAATTTCTTTTAAAAATCTCAGGCTCAATTATTTCCTAATGTGAAATTACTGATTTCTCAAATTACCTTTTAAAACTGCAAAAAAAAATTACACTTGTGGCCACAGAGGAGATAGCATACACTATCAATTTGATTTTAAAAGACATACATCTCTTATACTACCTGTCATTTTTATAATGCCTTTTACAAATTTAATCAATACATTTTAACATTCTATATACTTTAAGTGCAATATACAATAAATATTCAAGTTTCATCTTAAACATGCTTTAGCCTTTAAATTGTTAAAACTGCAGTGCCCTTTCAATCTACTTACATAATGTCATAAAATATACATTTCAAGGTAAATGAAGTCAGCTACTTCAATTTAGTCCCTCAAACTGGTAGTAAATGAGAGGTTAACACTATGGTGCCAAACCCATTATTGAGTAAATTTAGCACCTTGGACAGCTCTGTAAAATCTTTATTGCTTTCCTGACCTGCTCGTCATGTTCTGTCTCTGTGTTCAGTGGCTCTCAGCTCTGATTGAAAGGCAATATATTAGATCCCCAACACAAACACGCTTGGGGGCTAGTTCACTGGGAACGTAATGACATGGAGGTGAGAGCAATTTTCTGGTCACCGAAATCCAAGCACCTTGCAGGTCTGTGGCACTAACTCATAGAGGACCCAGGAATGTCTTTCTTCCTTCCCATTTGCACAAATAACTAACAGGAACCCAGCTACATTGGCAGTACTAAACTAAATGTGGCTCTCCCTAAAACCCCAAATTTGATACTACAGTGAAGGACATTTTCAGATGTGTGAGGCATCATTTAAGGATATAGGTTTCTAGACAAGACACCTAGATTAATTTTCCTTGAAATTTAGATGGTAGTTTGGAGTGACATTATGCCGATGCCAGGCCTGTGACCATATGCTTGGTTACAAAAACAAGCCCCACCATCACGAAGAGACAGCAATGCTGAAGACCAAAAGAATCCAATGTTGGGGGCAGGTGGTAGATTCCATGTCCTTCACTCTCAAATGGTTACATGATGACCAGCCTCTGGCATTAAATAAACTACCAGGTTTGTTATGTCACTGAAAAAAACTTGATTACAAAAAATGCAATTTTTCAGATTTGTAAAATCTTCTAAGACTTCATCATTCCTTCTGAACTCATTTACTCCCTGATTTTGTGAAATTAATAAAAGTAAGAAGGGTGGCTGCAATCTCCAATTATAGGGTTGCAAGGCTGAAATTCACTACTTCCTCATATCCTGTATTATAATTTTGACCAACAGGAGATTTGTCTATAAATATTTTTCTTCAAAGGTGTAAACAAAGAGAAATGCCTTCCTAGCAGAGCCCAGACATGGACATAAATATGTATTTGGAAAAATACATGACCATAGACACAGAGATGGCAAATCTTTTAATAAATGAACTAATTTTGATGCTGTTTTATTTTAATATTTCATTGGAGCCAGATAAAACCATAAGTTTTTGATGAAAATGACACTGGCTGAATTTGAGCTGGGGATAGTGTTTTGTGTGCCAATGCTGTGGTCAATTATTATCTGTTCTGAGGAGATACTACTGCTAACAAAAGACAGTAAGTTATCTTGTAGCTTGCATTAAAAAGTGAAGGAATGAATACACACACACACACACACACACACACACACACGTTCAAATTCCATCAATTATATTGTGCTTTCTACCCCCTTCATGAAAAATAACTGAGTTCTTTTAGAAAGTGGGGGGAGTCTGGCAGCTTAAGGCAAGCATCTGTGTTTATCAAGAGCTAGAAAATCCTCTAACTCATTTTTGAATTTAGGACATTATATATGTGGTAAGTAGTTACTGCAGTATGACAACTGTTTTATCTTATATTGTGGAGAATTTTGAATTGAAAAATGCTAATATATATCTAAAAGCTTGTCATTTAAAGATTTGTTCAAGGATTTTTGAAGAGGCTACGGTGACAGCGAAATGAATGCAATTATAGCCCTATTTTCTGATCAGTGTCTGCAGCATATGAAAATGGAACAGCGCCGCTTTCCCATTCCGAACTCCAAGGCATCTAATTTTAAAGTTATACTTCCATTTGCAACTTTGCCAATACTGAACTACAGTAAACAAAGCTTTTGATAAGTCCCCTCTCTACCTTACATTCTTGGATGGGGCTCTTTGTTAAGCCCCATTTTCTACCAGCTCCAAGCCTAATGCTGCCACTGTCTTTACCTTATACTAGTGAAGATGAATATATAGACAAATCAGATGAAATGGAGAAAGAATGGCTTCTGTTTGTCCAAATGTGTGTTTTTATTGAGTGCCCCCATTGAGTAGACCCACACAAGCCAAAGGTGGAAGCCTACTTTAGTAATAAGAGGGAGTTACTTTTTCTTCAAGCTGAATGAGTAGAAAAGTATAGGTCTATGAAAAGAATGAGTGAGCAAGAGAAAAAAACACCAACACAACAGAAAGAGCGAAGAATCAAGGCTACTAATCATGAATATTGGCACAGTGGGGGCTTCTAGGGAGAGGAGAATCCTTGTGCAAGGGTCTTTGTCCAACATTGTATTAATTCAGCGTGTGAGCTTCCTGTATCTTGTCCTCATAGCTCTGCCATACAAGAGAGACAAACAAAAGAAGCTTAAGGCTACATGCTTCCTTAGTGCCTGAAGACTGATTGGAAATTCCTCGAAAATGACCTGTCTGATAAGGTCATGGTTTCTGGAATGAGCAATTAAGTACAAAATAAACACATCTTAGGGATTCATACCATGTGCTGAATGACATCGATTATAGTAATCTGGTAAATGACCATGCAATTGTATTCAGCAATAAACATATGAGTGCTTTATCGTGCCTATGCCCAACAATTGAGTGATGTATTTTATCTTACAGTACCAATGATGCTCACCGTTTGACTCAATTAAGTGTGTATGTGAACAAGGATAAATTGGTGACAACACCATTCTGGGGGTCCCCACACTACTGCTTTTACAATCATGTCTTGCAAAAGGATGGCTAGAAGGATGGTGATGCTGTCATGTGAAAAGATAAGGCCACCTGCTATTATTCAGAAGCTTACATCTATCTTTTCTTTTCTTGACAGGAAGTGATCCTTAAAAGGGCTGCAGATCTTGTTGAAGCCCTGTATGGGATGCCCCACAACAACCAGGTGAGTGTTCCGAGTCTCTAAGCTAATGAAGTGCTTCCTCATTCAATGAAAAATATCTCAGAGTCCTTATTGCATGAAAAATACAAAAATGCTACAAAAGCTAAACTTGTGTATTAAGTATCTAAGATTTGGGATATGACATATCATAGCATTGTTTAGTCCTTCCAGCTTTTGCAAATCTTCTACTGTCTTTATTATTGTGTCCTGTCTCTTTCTGGAAAAGATGTTCCATTTAAAAATGGATCTCCATTAGGAATGTGCTCCAGGACTAAAGAAGACAGTTACTGTATTTTGTTTAATTTCTCTCAAATTTCATCAAGTTTAGGATGAGGAAGGGCTTAATTTTTTTCTTCTAAAATATAGAATGAGGCCCAAATAGTGCTGTTCATGTATTGTAAAGCAAATGTATGCAAAGAAATGAAGCTGCTTGGGAAACTGGCTCTGAACAATCTCACTCCTTCCTCCCTTCTCCCAAGTTGACTGTTTAGAAAGCAGTTATACTGATCCTCAGACTTTGGCTTCCCTGCATGGCAGCAAGGGAACATGATTTACAGGTCCTGAGTTCCTATGTGTGGAGGAAAAAGGAAATCCCACAGTATTGTCATATACTGACAGCAGTAGGCTTCAGAGTCAAGCAAATGGCATTCTGGAGCTCAGCTCTATCTTTAAAGAAATGAATATCCTTGAGTAAGCTCTTTGCCTTTCACGGCCTCAGTTTCTGCCACTGTGAGTGATGTGGTCAGGATGATGAAACTTGCCCTCACAGGTGCATCAGCAGGGATACAGAACGTAATGTGATTGACCATTGATGGCCCCGAGCATAGGATCTGTCAGAGAGGAAGCACAAGAAGATGGGGCTGTTGGGAGTATGAGTCAGGGTCGCTAACAATGGTGTGCCTTTGACTCTTCAGGAGATTATCCTGAAGAGAGCTGCCGACATTGCAGAGGCTCTGTACAGTGTCCCTCGCAACCACAACCAGCTACCGGCTCTTGCTAATACTTCGGTCCATGCAGGGATGATGGGCGTGAACTCCTTCAGTGGGCAACTGGCTGTGAATGTCTCTGAGGCATCACAAGCCACCAATCAAGGTCAGGACCCTGCTTTTTCCCTCTCTTTCATTTCTCCCACCCCTTGACAAACTCTGTCTACCACCCCTCTGCCTCTGCTACTTGATATCAATATATATATATATATATGTATATATATCCCCAAAGAGGAGATTCTTTACTTGTGTGTATTGAATGTGATTGTAGAATTTTGTTTCTAGTCTCACATCTGGAGACCTAGTAGGGGGCTAGAAAGAATGCATGCATGCAAGCATGCAGCCATCTCTACATTCAACTTTCCCCCATAAATCATGAATGACAGGTCACAAAGTGGGATGGAATTAAAGTTCTCATAGGCCACAACACATCATTCTTTCCCAGGGAAGAGGGACCTGTTAACTCTGGGGAACATTTCTTAGATTGGGATTTATTCCTGCTCCAAAATGATAATTTATAGACCCTGCATTGCCACTTCTCACACAGCCCTTCTAAGTATTTATGATCTCCTAAGAAATGTGTCTTTGCTAGCTTCCCATTTTAATCAGAGATAGCACTACCAACCCACGCACATGAATCACCAGGTCTTTTCCCTCTTGGTTGCTATGAGGGGGCATAATGGAGATGTTCCTCCTCCCTGATATCCCAGGTCTCCTGAGAATGACACCATCTGAATTCTACCCTCACCCCTGGTTTTGCCCTGACTTCTCAGGTTTCACCCGCAACTCAAGCAGCGTGTCACCACATGGGTATGTGCCGAGCACCACCCCTCAGCAGACCAACTATAACTCTGTCACCACGAGCATGAATGGCTACGGCTCTGCCGCCATGTCCAATTTGGGCGGCTCCCCAACCTTCCTCAATGGCTCAGCTGCCAACTCACCCTATGCCAGTAAGTAGATATCCGTCCTTAGTCTTGTATGTCTCCCTCGCAGAACTTAGCATCACACAGAGAGAACAACTAGGCAGGACTGCTTGGTCCCCACCCCAGCCTGCTACCCCCAATACCTGAGCACCATCCTCTCCAGCAGAGATCTCTGCATTCTCACCTTGCACCCAAGCAGCCACACAATGCCATTTCAAGAACCCATGCCATGGTCAGATGTCAATGGGGTTGCTGCCCACTACCAGTGGTTGCTAACTAGAGGCCCCTGGGTATGTTCATGTCCTCTCCATGCTTTAGCGTTCTCATTCTTAAGAGGACAAGCATCTAGACCACACTTTCACCAGAGTTGGAGAACATGGGTAAGATGTGCTTGCCATAATCTAGTCCTGAGGCCCAGTACAGGACTGAGGTATTTGGAAATCTAAGTCATTATTCTCACGTTGAAACAATAGATCCCTCATTAAGTAATAGATCTTATTTTCTTATGTTTCTATTTTCCTTTTTTTGTGTAATATACTCTTAAAAAGGAAAAATAATAGATGCCAACATATATATTTCACAAAAATCTAGTGAGGTGAACTTCCTCCCCCTGCCACACACATACAGAATATGACTAATCCTAGGTGCCCTGCTCCTACCTTAAAGAAATGTTGCTTAAAAGATTTGAGGGGGGAGGGGCACAAGACTTCGATTGTATCTAAAGAACTCAGCAAATCGGCATCTTTATACATAAACACATACATCTAAAGAGCCTCAGCAAACTGGCATTTCTTGCTATAAAATGTCCCCACAGGCTTTGTCCCCACAACCTCTTGATGTCTCTCTGAGGACCTTTCCATAGATGGCCAAATCCACCTAGCACATGAAGAGTTTTTCAGATGTCGAAAATGTGGCTGGATGTATAGACATTTGTAGAGGAACAGGGATGTGTTGTTAAATAAAGGGATATTCACAAGTCTTACCTAAACCCACAGAAAACAATGCTGTCTCCATGCTGAAGTGTGTGGCTAACAACTTGAAGGTGGACAGCTTAATCTGGTCTTGAGTTATTTCTAAGGGAATACTCTGCTCGGGTGCATTGTGTTTGCATTTCTACCTTATCCATTTAGAATTGGCCATTTGTAACACATTTAAAACCTGCCAGGTAGTGTGCATGGTGCAAGTCTGTTTACCAGACAACAGTGGGGTCAGTTTCACATTAGGTTTTGATTTATTGAAAGATCTACCCTTCAGCATTCTCCAAGCTACTCAATCAGAAAGTGTTTCAATCATGATCTGAAAATTAAAAGGTGGCATTCTTAATTAAATCAATAAGCTAATTGCTATATGGGAGTGATTCAATTTAGGGGCTCTGGGCGTTCACCTTCAGGAGCCTGTGCGGACATCCAGTGACTTCTGCCTAAGATCACATCTGTCAGCCTGAGAAACTTTGAACATTTAATTTCCATTAATTGATTTCCTCAGAGCTCACAAATATAGTATTAAATTCCCAAATAAGCCCTCAGATGAGACAGTATTATCTGCATAAATGCAAATAAAACAATAAACACAGAGCCCAGCTGATTTGAATTTTTGCCTCTGTAATATTTAATTATTCATAAACCACTCATGTTGAAAAATCCCGACAGAATGAAAAAAAATAAAATAAGACATTCTGCTGGTGAACACACTCTGTGGTATGGCGGCTAGTAACTAATAATGTTGTAACAAATGGCAATATTCCACTATATTTCACCCCTTTCTTGTTAACTGCCCCCCCAAATTCCCCACCTCTAAATACACATAATGATCGCATTTGCCAACGAGATTAATTTCCTTCCGTGGTGAGCCAGCAGGATTTCAAGTCTAAGAATATTTAAAAATCAAACCTCCAGTGCAGGAATTTTGCAATTTAAATGGGTGTTATTATTGAGCATATTCCCACATTTACAAATCCTAAGAGACGGATAAAAATGTTGGTCTCATTAAAAGAAAAAGTACAGTCTAGTAAATGTTAGGGAGAGCTCTGAGTTGTGGATGAGGCTTGTCCATTCTCCTCCAGGAGGCATTTGGCCCATTTGGATCCATGCTGGCTTGGGCTGGTGACAAAGGGTCATTTCCTTCTGATAGCAATCCTTGCATATGACTGATGTGATCCCCATATTTCCAACTTTTCAAAGCCATGAGGCCAAGCTACATCTTAGCTGTGGTCCTTCAGCAATTACCTCAACTACTTTCTGAGTTCCAGTTCACTTGTATGTTTAAAACAAAAAAAGTCACAAGCCCCTGGCCTTATGTTATTCTGTCAATGGTAAGATGGAAAAATGGGAAGAATCTTGTATATCACAAAGCAATATGTGATGTTTATTAAGTAATGTGAACACTGGAGAACACAAGAGTATCTAGGACATAGACGCAAAGGAAATGTATGTATGAAAACATTAGCCTTGACATTGTCTGGGACATCTCTGTCTCCCGAGGTAACGACAATTGTCAAAGTGTTTTCAGTTTGTAGTATCCAGGTCCCCACTATTGCCTAACAGGATTTGCATGCATCTCTGAGCCCCCTGCTTATCTCACAAACATTTGTGGAAAGGGAGAACTTGGAACCTCAATTTAGAGTTGTGTATTTCCCACAGATGTTTCACGTGGCGGTATTCTTGTTTACTCAACTTTCTATCTACTGGAGTCTATGTGGTAGTGTATCCACATCCAAACCCATCCTTATAGACCTTATCAGCTCTTGGAGAGAAAGCGGCTTACACACACCACCACCTGCCTAAGCCTAAAGCCAAAGTGCTGGTTTCTTCCTCATAGATCTCATTCCTTCATTGATAACCACATCCTCTCCATGTCCCGTCTGTCCCCAGATCTTCTTAGAACCTTATTTAAGCTAGAGATGGAAGACTTTCCCTAAAAGCTCTGTGTGATATCACCTTTGGTATCACTTCTGTCTCGCTAGCAATGGCTTTACCCATCTTGATCCCCCAGGACATATAATAGTAAACAGTAAACAATGTAAACTATTATAAGAAGTTTACAACAGTAAACTCAGGAAAGTCACTGACTTGAAGGCAGCACATGCTAAGTACCAAATGATGAAGTTAGGCAGGGTCGCAGGAGTTTAGGGGGTGCCTTGCCTAAGAATGGTCAGATCAGAGAGGCCGGGTCAGATCTATGCCAGCCCTCCCATATCTGGATGTAATTCTCCTTTCTCATTGCTACTCTCAGTCGTGCCATCCAGCCCCACCATGGCCTCCTCTACAAGCCTCCCCTCCAACTGCAGCAGCTCGTCGGGCATCTTCTCCTTCTCACCAGCCAACATGGTCTCCGCCGTGAAACAGAAGAGTGCATTCGCACCAGTCGTCAGACCCCAGACCTCCCCGCCTCCCACCTGCACCAGCACCAATGGGAACAGCCTGCAAGGTAAGAAAGTTCTAGGCCCACAGGCGTGAGACCGTGAGAGGTCTGAGTGAAGTAGGTGTCTCACTGTTGGTGGGGCAATGTCTGAGACATCCACTTTCCTGCTCCAGGAACTCAACTTGCCTGAGAACAGTGTCGTCTTTGCTAGGGCAACTGCTTTTCTTTTCTCCTCTCTCAAGAACACATATGACTACTACTAACATCCTGACCCCTAGCCATAATGTGATTCATCTCAACTCTCCGTTGTTGCCATTATCAGACCAGCGCTGTGTAGATACTACCAGGTTCTCCACAGCAATCTCTCCTGGGATGGGCTTTCTCCTGAAGTAGGTCTCTCAGCCTTCTCTTCTGGGTGTTTATGTCAGGATGAAGCTGTGTCAGGAGATGACAGGGGAGGGAACAGCTGCAGTCCATTCAGAGCCCGAGGTGAAAGCATCATGTTCCCGTATAGCAAACATCAAAGGCCTCTTGAGAGCCACTGAAATATTCTGGTTCCTAAAATTGTTCAGTCTCCTTCCGCTACACAATATGGGAAGAGGCAGAACCATCAGGCCACATTTTGTTCATGGGCATGGGGGTCCAACCTTAAAATGTGTCTACTTTTTTCCAACATTCCTATGTGCTTGGCTCTGTGAGTGGGGTTGGCCCCTTATGTGTTCCCCACAGTAGGATGATGACACAAGTGCTCATAGCCCCTACCTTACAGATGAGAAAACTCAAGGTGGGCGGTTGTCTCCTCCCAGCTAGTGTGCGGCAGTTGCTGGCTGCACAATCGAACTAAAAATTTTACCTCTTTCTAGAACCTGATACTTTTCCACAAATGTATCCCGGATTCCTAAGACAGCTAGCAGGGAAATCAGATAAATAGAATAATCAACCACCAAACAGTATGGCCAGTGCTCTCTTAAGCATGGAACCGGCTTTACGTGGTTAATCCCCACCATGTCCTGATGAGGTATGGAGGCCATTAGATCACTACAATACCAGGAGGGTGACTACTGGTCACAGACAGCAGGCAGACAGTGGAGGTGGAGGTGAATGGAAGCCCCTGGACTCTCCTTAATCCCTGCCCTGCACAACTGACCATAGAACCTCACTTCAGTGGTCAGCATGTCACTCAGACAGGGTAATTGTGGGGGCCAGAGAATGATCTGAAGGGCAGTGACACACCTGGGATTTTGTGGCTCTCTTTCTCATCTGGATGTGTATGTCCCCTTTAACATATAGACGCATAGCATGTTCTGAGTACTTTTTGCTGCAGTGTGCATACACTGGTTTTCCAAGGATTCTCAGGGTTCAGTACCACCCTCAGTGTACAGGTACATTCAAGCATAGTTCACTCAAGGGCACATGGTGAGGACATGGCATCCAGAGAAACCGTAAATGGTACAACCCCATAGCCTACACAACCATTTCATTGCACCTGTCTACCTCTGGAAGAAATTTTTAGAACATTCTGTAGGTAAATTGCTTGGCATAACAAAGTTAGTACCTAGAGTAACTTGCCATCAATGGACATATACTTACCTGTTCGCCATCTTAAAGAAAAGAGGAAAGTATTTTACAGTGTAACTAAATCTCAGGCCAGGTAGACAAGCTAGGAAATACCCCGTTCCCTGCCATTCATGCCAGATTTATTCTCTATCAGCTAAAAAAAATTTATCCCCTCCTTATAGCCCCAGCTAGAACAACCATAATTTCATATGATTGAAGTAATAATGATACATACAGGAGAAGGTAAAGTTACCATCCTTATATTTTGGGTTGCGAGCCTGGCCTTTAAGGGCCAAGCTATCTCTTCAGCCCTGATGTTACCATTCTTAAGCTGACAGTCTCAACTTTGATTAGTGTCTTAGTTAGGGTTACTGTCCCTATGATGAAACACCATGACCAAAGCAACTGAGGGAGGAAAGGGTTTATTTGACTTACACTTCCACACCACTGTTTATCATCAAAAAAAGTCAGGACAGAGACTCAAACAAGGAAGGAACCTAGAGGCAGGAGCTGATGCAGAGGCCATGGAAGGGTGCTGCTTATACTGGCTTGCTCCCCATGGCTTGCTCAGCCTGCTTTCTTATAGAACCCAGGACCACCTGCCCTGAGGTGGCACTACCCACAATGGCTGGGCCCTCCCACATCAATCATTAATTAAGAAATTTCCCTAAAGGCTTGCCGACAGCTAGATCTTATGGAAGCATTTTTGCAACTGGGGTTCCTTCCTCTCAGATGACTCCAGCTTGTGCCAAGTTGACATAAAACTAGCAAACACAGAGTTGATACCAGGAAAAAATTAATTGTGATTCATAGTAGAGATGTGTTGCACTTGGAAGGCATGGGGTGTGACCCAGACATATTCATCTTCCTGGATTTGCTGCATATGACCCTACCTTTTCCAATGTCCCCATGATGGGACATTGTTTCTAGACTCTCTTATAACCCATACTGTATTTGTTCTCCCAATCCTATCATATGCCAAACAATTGGAAGACATGACACCAGTAGAAATGTGGATAGAAAAGTAAAGTCCAATTAACCAAGACCACTTCCTTAAGCTATTGCTCTGATGTATTCCTCTCCACAGCCTGCCCTCACGAAGGGTCACCCTGGAACCTGTGCTCCCACACTCTACATCCTCTCTAGCAGGGCTCTAGCTGAGCCACAGGCCAGCTACATCATTTTTGTTCAAGAGCTCTTACATGGATCTTATAGTATCTACTGGGAAATGTGACCTTCTTTCTGACAATGGCCTTTCAGACATGGTATCTTTTACTTTTGATCCTCCTCTTTTCCCACTGAAAAAGGGACCTCAATGCGCTCTGGAGATGGGTCAGACTTTAGTCACACATCCGTTTTGACTCACCCAGTTCAGAACTGTGATCATTCATTCATAAAGGGCAAGTGACAAAGAGTTGGTTAAGTAAATTGACCATAGAAACAAGACTAAATAGGACACACTCGGACTGTTTACCTTTGTAAAAGACCTATTTACCTCTGACTACTGAAGTTAATTGAATGTCCTCCTGGTTTGTTAAAGCCTGCTCCTTAACCAACCACCCCTTTGCCAATAGGAGATAGGCACTGTGGTGGTAAGGGTGTAGAATAAAACCATCAGTGGGGGAGAGCCTGCTCCCAGTCTGACATATGCATTGACACAAGATTTCCTCCCTAAGGCTCTTTTCAGTGGCTTCTTATTTCACCCACTTTATAGATGTAGACACAGAGACATGGAGGAGCTGAGATGGCTTGTCTGCCATCACTCCACTAGCAGAGAAGGAAACCTTAGGCTTGAACCTTATATATTCACTATACTGTGTTGAGCCTCCAGACTGCATTGCCATATTATATTTGAGTCACCATGTGAGGTCCATGAAGAGGACCAAGGTCTAACAACTTGGAAAACTGACCTGTTATTTGGAGAGATACAATACTCAGGTTAGGGAGGCAGATCTACCCGAGAGAGGCTGGCACCCAGCTATGGACTGCAGAGGTAAGATGCATGAAGCAGACTCAGACCATTTCATAGTCAATTTGCCTTTGAATGAATAGTGACTAGGATCCCAGCCCAGGGAGAGCATTGTTTTTTGTTTTTTTAATTTTATTTTTAAATTTAAATTCAAATTAGAAACAAGGTTTCTTGACATGTCAATCTCATGTCCCTTTCCCTCCCTCCTCCCACCCCTCCCACCACCCACCCAATACCCCCTCCTTTCCTCAGGGAGGGTGAGTTCTTCCGTGGGGGTGTCCATAGACTGTCATTTCATCCAGGACAGGGCCTAGAACCTCCCCCAAGTGTCCAGGGTGAGAGTGCATCTCTCATTGTGGGATGGGCACCCAATGTCCATTTGTATGCCAGGAATAAAATACTGGTTAACTACTAAAGGCCCCATAGATTGCCTAGGCCTCCTCACTGACACCCCCATTCAGGGGGTCTTGATCAAGTTGGGAAGCACCCATGTGAACAGTCAAGTCGCTGATGGTGTGTCCCATCAACCACATGGGATATCAGTACCACAAACAGAAAGAAAGTTAAAACATGAGGCCTTTACTCTTAAGTCCCATGCCTCTTTGTATCTATTTTGTGATTTTACAGAATCTATTGTGTCTCTTATATTATGGAGACTTTTGAAAATTTGAGAGGAAACATTTAGAGGACAATCAACTCTTATCTCAATACTTCTTGATCCTCAGGAGATGATTTGGTGAAGAAGTCAAACTGTTTTGGTCAAATTTAGAAAGTAGTTCTTACTGTGTCACTATTGTAGATAACTATGCCCTTTATAAGGTATTAAAGGCTCAGAGGCATCCTGCAGAGAAACAGAAAGGACTGTAGACATCCCTCAGTTTCCAGCAGGACATAGTTTCAAGACTCCTATAGAGAACCAAATGCATGGACATTCAGGCCTCCTATATAAATGATATAGTGTCTGTATATGAACTTCAAATCATCTGTGCTCCTTATAATACCTAGCACAGTGTACTGCCATATAAATAGCTCTCATACTATAGTTAAAAAATAACAACAAGAAAAAGGTTTCTCCCTGTTCGGTGTAGTTATAGTTGTTTTAGATTTTAAAATTTATTTTTAATTGGGATGATGAGATGTCTTGGTGTGTAAAGTGGCTTGCTGTGCAAATATAAGGACCTGGGTTCAGGTTCCAGAACCCATGCAAAATCTGGTCGTGATTGACTGAGGCTGTGACCCTAGTGTATGATAGGAGAAACAGAAGGAGATACGTGGGTCCCTGTAGCTTGATGACCTAGTCAGTCTAGCTAAAACAGCAAGCCAGGTGAGAGAGATCTTCTCCTATTTGGTATTGACCTCTGGTATACACACACACACACACACACACACACACACACATACACACACACACACACTTTTAATTAGCATAATAGTTTGACATATGTATGAGCTACATGTGACATGCGTGAGTGTGTATGCAGTATGTTAGTGTATCTATTAATATAGACAGATGTTTCTGTCCTGCTTGATCCCACAGCCATTCAGTCCCAAATAAACACACAGAGGCTTATATTAGTTATAAACTGTTTGGCCTACTGCTCAGGCTTATTGCTAACAAGCTCTTACAACTTAAATTAACCCATAGTTCTTATCTATGTTTAGCTACATGACTTGGTACCTTTTCTCAGTAAGGCATTCTCATCTTGCTTGATCTGTGTCTCACTGGCAACTTGTTCTCTGCCTTTCCTATTCCCAGAATTCTCCTACTCTGGTTGCCCCACCTCTACTCCCTGCCTGGCCACTAGCCAATCAATGTTTTATTAAACCAATACGAGTGACAAATCTTTACAGTGAACAAGAGCATTATCCTACATCATATTACATGGGATATTTGTAAGGAAAATGAACTCTCTCCATGAGCTATTTTGAAATATTTGGTTGATTGCTGTCAATTAGGCTTCTGTGCCATTAGAAGTTACCTATCTTCCCATTCACCTGTCCTCTGTACCCATTAACCATCCTTTTGTCATTTCCCTCTGGCCCACTTTCCAGCTCGGCAAATACCATCTTAGTCTCTGCTTCTGTGAGATCAACTTTGTAGCTTCAGTGTCTTTCTGTGCCCGACTCAATTTGCTTAATGTCATGTCCCTCCACACATTGCAGCTCTGTGATTGCCTGAATGTTTAGGTGCCAAGTCCATGAATATACAGAGCCAACCGTCCATTTTGCTTGCTAAATGCTTTTGCCTGCAGAGTTATTTCCCATGTAACTAAGGCCAATGAGTACCATGTGAAAATCTCTGAAAACTGCAGCTGCTATCTGGATTGACAGACAAAATGTAGAAAAGGTTCCACCCATTCTTATCGAGATGAAGTCATTGAAAGCTCTTGACCCTTGACTCCCAAGTAAGTCTGTCTTTACAGACCAAAGACTTGAGTCACCAGCTTTGTTCATCTCTTTTCTATGGAAACAGACATCCTTTCTCATCTAAAATGGCTGCTCCTCAGAGCCTGAATTCTATGGAAGGGCTTCAGAGTCAGGAGAGAGCTGTCACAAACCATCAGAATGTCCATTCACTAAAACAAAAAGATCAGGGAGATGTTGCAGAGATATAGTTATAGCAAACCTCCCTCCCTCATACCTTGTTGACATTCAGGCTCATTTTGGCCCTAAATGTCATGGACCTCAGTACCAACTCTTGCGGAACTGTGTTTTTCCCTGTAGATACATTCAGTTTATACAAGATCTTGCCTTACTCCATACCTGATGAGTGCATGATTCTTAAAGCTAGGGAGTTCAGGGAAAGACTACATCTTCCTCCTCACTAACCTTTCCCAGCCCTGCAAGACTTTACATCTTTGTCTTAATTCTTATCAAAATGGGGAACCTTTAAGGTGAAACATATTGCCTTTCAACACAATGGCTTTTGAGTTCCCCTCAGCAAACGTGATCACCCAGCAGAGCCACTGTGGTCTAGTGATGATCTCTTGGCACACGGTGTTAGGAATGTGGTATCTCATGGGAATCTGCCTGGGCTCTACTTGAGGCAAGTCAAGCATACCATCAGCATTTCTGGGACATTCCAAGCCTCTGATCCCATCCCTGTCATCCATATCATTAATTTCCAGATCACAGCACAGACAGACAAGCAGCCCTTAGACCCAGGATTGTCATGTAGTCACGCAATGGAGTTTCTCTATGGGAGGGCCTCGTTTGAGGTGCCCAGAGGCAGGCCAGAGATAGCTAGCATTTTCTGTATAAGAGATCATGGGGAAATGAAGGGTGCAGCAAACCTCCACAAAACCTTGTAAGTACCTGTGATCCTTGTGTGAGGGGTACCAGAGCTCGTGTTGAACTTATATTCTGTGAGCTGGCCTAGAAGAGATTGCAGCATGGGGACAAGTAATGCCCATTCCACAGTGCCCTCAAGTATATTTGGTCTTAATTCCAGCTAGGCAGGCAATCATGTTTGAAAAAGTCTGTAATTCTAAATTCTCTTTAAGGAATCCAGAAGCCTGGTTGGGCCAGCATCCCAGGACTCCCCTGCAGAAGGCATTCCCTCTGCCACATCCCCTCCATTCCTGTCCAGGGGACTCTGCTCCTTCATGTGCCAGCTGGCCTCTCAAGGCTATGAGGTTTACAGCATCAAACTGAGAAGTGTACCAGGACACCTGTGAGCTCAGAGGGGAGCTTTTAGTGAGGCCATATGAAGAAGCTTAATTTAATCAATCTAACAAATTATTCAAGTTTAAAAAAACACTGTTTAGAAATTTCTTTTTTTAAATACAGACTAAACTGAATAATAATAATAATGATGATGATGATGATAATAATAATAAATTCCATGGGATATTTTCATGACCCAGGTGTAAGTGTGCCCTGAGTCCATAGGCTAAAAGAGCAGGAGGTTTGCCAGGTCTCTAGTTGACTTTAGATCACACTAGCACTCGTGAGCTATCCCAGGACAGAGCTGCCTGCCTGCCCTCTACCACACCAGGCATGCAGTATGGTCTGGCTTCACTGGCCACAGGCTTTATGTTCCTGCTACCTAAAATAAGGGTAGAGGACCCGCCTGGAGCCTGGATACAAAGCCACTTAGGGACCCCCTGCCCATCCTTGCTCTTGGGGCTGCAGCATCTGGAACTCTCAAGTTTAGGCTGGGGTTTAAATACTAAGCTCCTAAGTTCACTGAAATCTAGGGCTCGCTCAGCTCTTAAGCAAGCTGCTTTTCCAACTTATTCCAAATCTTGCGGGTGGGGGTGGGCTTAAGTCGAACTGCATTTGGCAGAAAATGACTTCCTGTTTCTAAGAAAGAAAGGCTTATGGGGGCTAAGGAAAGGACTCCAGGAGCTTCTGGACTGCAAAAGGCTCTTGCAAAACAACACTTGGATGATTTACGTGTAAATGAATCAGAAACATGTGGATTGAATTTCCTTGCAAATACAGATGGGTTTAAAAATTAACGGAAAAAGTGTTTGGCAAAATACTTTTGGGTTTCTTTTCTTTTAATTGAATCTAAAATGTCAGGGGTTGGGGTAGGGAAGCAAGAGTAATGTAGGGAACACATGGCCTGGCCTCCCTCTGTCCATCTGCTAGTGGGGATCCTTTATTTTTAAGGTACGTTTCCCCAGACATGATGGTTTAGATAAAGGAAGAGGACCGCTTTGCCCATGCATTAATCCTTACTAACAAGAACATTCACTGAAATTTAGACTTGTCAATATAAAGAAAGACTTTTACTCTTTCTGTCATTGGTAGCCAGAGATGGCTGTGTCTTTTTTTTTTTTTTTTGGCTTTTTTTTTTTTTTGTTTTTTGTTTTTTGAGACGGTTTCTCTGTGGCTTTGGAGCCTGTCCTGGAACTAGCTCTTGTAGACCAGGCTGGTCTCGAACTCACAAAGATTTGCCTGCCTCTGCCTCCCGAGTGCTGGGATTAAAGGAGTGCGTCACCAACGCCCAGTTTGTGTCTTTTGTTTTAACATAGGCATCTCTCTTGGTATATTTCCAAGTTGCCACACTGTCTTAATTCTCCTAAAGTGGTCCCCTATTTTTCATAACCTTTGTTAAGTGCACCCTACTGAATGTCATATATTTGATACAAAGAAAAATACAAACCAGAGAATTTTAATAGTGCTTCCAAGGTCACCCAGCTAGAGATGAGAAAGTGGTGTGTTAGAGTCAGAGTTAAGCTACCATCAGGTTAGATCCTGTGAGACTTCATGTGGAAGGGGCTCCTAAAGTCCATTCGTACACCAGGGATAAATACTGATCCACTACCAGAGGCCCCATAGATTGCCACGTTCAGGGGGTCTGAATCAGTCTCTCAGCCATCAGTCTGGGGCCCATGAACACCCCGGATCTACACTTCTATATCTAATTCAAATCTCCAGTAACTCCCAAGTTCTACAGTTGACTGCATGTTCTGACCCAGGAGGCTGAGGGTTAGGAAGACAATTACCCATCTCAGGGGTACATACTCAGAAGTGGGCGGGAAAGAGGCAGAATTTTCTAAACAACACTATGCCTCGGTAAGAATTTGGGTTGCCCTGAAACAGGTCTTCCATTCACAGGCTTGCTCAGATCATTCCAGAAATCCCGAGAGAAGCCACAGTAGAAAAGGCATTCTGCAGTTACAGACAAATATGTTCTCTCCTCCAACTCCATGTTTCCTCCGGGCTTCATTTTCCCTGCTGGGGCTGGCATCCCTTTTCAGCTCAGGCTGAAGGGAAGGCCCTCAGATGGTGACTCCATTGCTTAATTTTCATGCTAATCCAGAACATAAGGAGAGGCTGTAGAAACCGTTGGCAGTTACAGCGGGCCAGTTCTTTATTTCATATTTTGGATATGACGTGGGGGGAGGCACAGCAGAATAACAAACTGAAAATTCTCACATTTTTTGCAAAGTCTGAGGCTGCAACTTTCCCAATGGTATTCGAGCTATGCAACTTTCCAGTTATGCCTTAAAAATGAACTCAGATTTGGAGGAATGTTTAGGATGCTCTGTTCTGTTAGAGAGACATATACATGCTGATATAATTTTCAATAAGGTATATGTATATTTTATGACAAAATCATTCCCGGGAAGATGCAAGGACATCTGGTTAATATTCAACCGACGTTGTCATGTGTGGGTTGTTTTTATTGTTCCCTTGTCCTTGGTGAAATGTTTGGGTGCAAAACCACTGACTTCTGTCTTTTCTTTTCATAGCGATATCTGGCATGATTGTTCCTCCCATGTGAAAGAATTGCCTTGAAGAATTTTATTAATGAAGAGGTTGGATTCTGCTACGAAAGTAATCTGATATGAGTCCCAGAGTGGAACTTTTAACTCAGGCCTTTTTAAGAGGAATCACACAATAACTGCAGATTTTTAAACAAATCACCGACCTTGCAAATACTGAAATTGGAAAGGGGTCTGCCAGAGCAGGGTGTTGGTTAAAATCGTACCTCCAAGTATCTGGGGGATATATTTATTCTGTATTGATAAAAGCAAACTCACAGTTTCTTTTCTTTTTCTTTTTTTTAAAGCTTAACTCTGCAATCATTTGTCTTTTATAAACCATAAAGCTACCCACAAGGGCCATTATAAATAAGACCCCAAGTTTTAATTTATGATGTTTTTAAAGCTGTGTGAGGGGAGAATGAAGTGGTGATATTTACAAAAAAGCTAAAAGGAAAAAAAAAAGAAGAAAACAGAAAAAAAATTTAAAAAAAAAGCTTGTATGGGACAGAATAGGAATGCCAGTTAGATTTTTTTAGAAAACTAAGGGTCGGCTTTTGCGCCTTAAAGCATATCAATGGTAGTTAGCTCAGACAGTGCATTTTCAATATCTAACTTAACATGCCACCCCTTAGCAGTTCTGCAAGCTTCCTTCTCTCTTTTGTATGGTTGTCTTTCGTAACTGTGTAAATAAATGCAGCCTGGAAAGTTACCAAGCGACATACATGATCACATTTTCCCCTTGTACTCCAGTGCCTCTAGACAGATTATTAAAAAAAAGAAAAGAAAAAGAAAAAAATAACAAAACAAAACCCTGCATCTTTTAACCCGATCTCATTCTTTTACTTAATGATAACTTCTTCCGAAGCCAGTGGCCTCTGAAAGTGGAGTGGCATGGTGCACGCCCTGAGTCAGAAACTCCTTTAAGACTTCTGGAACAGGGTCCAGGCACAGAATTCCACATATGCCCTCCAAGCGGAAATCTCACTCACACGCCTCCGAGAGATTTGAGCTTACTCCTCCTAGAATCCTAAATGCTAACTTTATGTCCAGGCTCAAAAACAAAAACAAAAACAAAAAGCAAACACAGACAAAGCAAACTGACAAAGGCGGGTGGGCACGCTGTTCTGTTCGGGTTCCAGAATCACACAGGGGCCTGTACCAGCAAGACCCTGTCGTGGTTGTAAAGTTATAAATTCAATCAACCGGCAAAGTGCTTTGGGGTTCAGAATGAAAGGAAACTGGGGAAGAGGAAGAGACGGGGAGTTCTCGAACTCAGCTTTCTTTGGAAAGTTTTGCTTCTTACTGGAAAGTGTTCTTAAAAGAAAGAATCCACAGCAAAGATTCAGCCGGGGAGACTCCGAGGGGCACTGGCCTGGCTGGCTTTTCTTTGCCCTTCTGTTTCTGTATGTAGTTATAAATACTGTAGATTTTTTTGTGATTTTTTTTGCCAAAGTTGTTTTATTTATACATTTTAATGTCTGAAGATGGTTTTCGAGCTCACACACAGAAAAAAGATTTTACCGCATATTTTGCAAAGAAATAAAAAGCGCACTACCTTAGCTTGCACATACTTGCAAAGTGAACTCAAAGGCTTTTGTTTGTTTGTTTTAATGGGGATTTTGTAAAATATCCATATAAATAATGTATTTATCTTTGGAATTTGTACATTGCTTTTCTCTCCTCCCACCTCCAACTCCCAGTTTATTTTTTTTTTTGTGTATGTGTGTGTGTGTGTTTGCTTTGTGAACAGTGCGTATAGTTTGGTCACCTATGGTTGTATTGGCTGTTTCAATGTGATTTTTAAACAATTCATTTATAGGTATTTTTAGTATTGTTTCAAACCATGCTTCAATTTTTTTTATTTCCACCCAAAAGCCATTGTCTATTTTTGTATTATTTGTAAGTTAAGAAGTTTTTTCCAATATATGGCAAAAAATAGTAGCATATTATTCTTGTAGTATTTAGTTCTGTAGATTTAAAAATAATGTATCCTTTGCTTTGGAAGCATACAAAAATGCTGTTTTACTCTATTAATATGCATGGAATCTCTCCCTTTGGAGTGACGCATTTTGTGCATTAAATTTGGGGGAGAAACTTCATAGCGATCAATGAACATACTTTCTTTCTTAAGTCTGCTTGTATATTCTGTCTTTCACATAAATATAAACCAGCAGATTGGATGCCTTAACAATGCAAATCATATCCATTTCACCTGTACATTGTACTGTGCACCCCGACTGTCAATCATCACTAACATTTAAGAAAAAAAAAGAAAAAGAAGAAAAAAAACAAAGAAATTGAAAAGCACAAAAGAACTGTTTTGTTACTTTAAGACAATGTTACTTTTTCTAGTAGAGCAAGCGATCATTAACAACGATGCTGCAACTGTGCATGCCCCGTATGGATTCCAATGGTTTTCACTAGACTGTCAGAGTGCAGATTTTTATGGGTTGGGGAGGGCAGGGGAGGGAGCGGGGAGGTTGATAAGGGAGGGGAGGGAGGAAAGCTGATTTTTCATGATGAGAAATAATAATAATGACGACTGATGATAATAATAAAAAGAAACTGGAAAAATATAAGCAAGGTTTAGCATTGCTTCTCCGTACTCAGAAAGGTTGTCTGAATTCGTGTGGTAAGCGCTGGCCTGAAGATGTCTAAGGTCTAAAGCCATATTTTGTCTGGTGAGCCAGACACCAGTCTGCAAAGGAACAAGCAGTGAGCCGGTGAGATGTCCGGCTCAGACCCTGACAAAAGACGCCACCAATTTGTTAGCCATGTGCCATGGTGAGAACTTTACTGGAAAGCCCAAAGAGCCTTTAAAAAGAAAACATGTATCCTTTGTGTTTTGCTGTTTATGTTTGATTAGATGACAGAGAAGCACTCTGGTTCTGGGAACCATTTTCTTCTACACAAAATGTTGTTTTCAAGTCCCTTTAAGACATAGCCCCCCTAAATACAGAATATGGCTTTAAAAAGAAGACGGAGTAGAGAATTAATTCTGATTTCAGTTTTGGGGGAAGAGCCCTGCCTCTGGATGACTGGATACGCATATGCCATGCCCGGCTTCACAATGTAGGATGCAGCTTCTTGAACTCATCTCTCAATCTACTAACCTTTCACCTTCTTATCAAAACTTTTTCAATAGACACACACTGTACAGTTCAATTGTTAGAGCACTTAACTACTGTAGAGATTGTTATAATTTTCCTTTTCTTTTTTTTTCTTTTTGCAAAAAATTCAAGCTGTAAAAACTTTTCAACTTTCACAATATTTAATTAAAGTTACTTCCTGTCTGTGATGGCAGTTCCTAGTGGCGTATTCATTTCTCTGTGGTAGAAGAGCCAAAGACCAATGAACTGCAAAAGGCTTGGACTTGCTATTATTCAGGCCAGTGTTGACTTGAGAAAGAATTAGCCTAGGCCTGGGACACCCACTTCCTTTCTTTGTAGGTCAGGGGTTTGCTAATTTGGAATGCAAATTGAACACACACAGCGTATTGCTGCCCTCTGCTGGCATGAGCCAGGTGTGCATGTGCACATGCTGGCCCACCAAGGAGCCAAGGGACCCCATTCCTGTTATCAGCGAACAGTGAAATATTCCCCATTATAGAGGCTGAATTGGGCATCCAGGAACTGGTCATTCTAGAACACCATTCTCCTCCACACTGGAAGTCTGAGCTAAATTCTTCCTATGCAGCTGCTAATTAATCCCAGTGAGCCTTCTGCCCAATTAATTATGTGCCCTGCCTTGCTGATGAGGCATGTGTGACTAGAGAACCTATATTTTTTTAAACTTCTTGTGGATAATAGGTCCCCCACCCCCACCCTGGTGGACAAAACCACATCTGTCTGGAATCAAACTTTACAGGTCTGTAGTAGGTGTGCAAACTTCACAGGCACCAAGAAGGTGCGCGCGCGCTCACACACACACACACACACACACACACACACACACACACAAACACACACGGGACTATGTCACTTTAAGTCCTGTCTTGATCATAGTCTTTCCATTGTACTTTATACTTCTTACCTAATTTTGCAATGACTGGACCCAATAAGGTTAATGATGCTTTAAAAATGCTTCGACCAACAGAAACTCCATGGCCAGAGCTAATAGGGTGTCCCATAAGCACCAGCACATTGGTTTGTGGCAGGCACTTCTGTCGCACTGCTCTGAAATATAGCCCAAGGTAAGGCTCTGAAAGACTAACCTGTGTAAGCCAATACATACAGATGCTAGTGGCCTATGTTCAACAGAAAATCTTGCCTGGTCAGTGTGACCATTCACTACATGTTTCTGACATTCTGTATCAGATGCAGAGGATAAAAACTGAGCAAAAGGTTCAGGATGTCTTCAAGATGCACACATCAGACAAGGGAAATCGCCTTGGAGCCACCCTGGTCTACTAAGCTTAAACAACAAGAGGCAGGCAGGCACCAGAACAAAGTAAAAATGGATTGCCGCAGTCTATATTGCTGGCTTAGCATTTGTTAAGGCCTGCCTCTTGATAGCATTCACTAATTTATTCATACATTCATTCATTCACTTTTTCCTTTAAACCTCAAGCATTTGCCATTCCTAGGACATCAGATGAGGAGTGGTGTCTCTATTGGTAGGGACACTGACATTGTTTCCACTCTTTGAGCTTACAATACAATAGGAAAATTTGGCAGGAAGCACCCCGCCTCTCCACACATAACACCTACCAATAGTAATGAAACACAAGTCAAGAGTGTTTTGAAGGTTTATCATAATGAGATCTGACATAATCAAAGAACTTTCGAGAAAAGGCTTCCAGAGAAAGTAGCAGTTGAGTCAAGGGAGAAAGAAAGAACATCTCAGGCAGCATGGATAAGGGTGAGTAGAATGACTAAGCTTCAAGTAGGATGAGGTGTACCAAAGAGCAGAAAGTCTGTGTGAGTGGAGTACATAGATGCCCACAATGACCTTGTGGGGAATAGCAAGTCAAATTCACAGCATATTCTCGGCTTCTAGCATGGGTTTGGTGTGCTAGATACTAATGAGCCAATCAGCGGAAGTTCCCTTATGAATAGCCTATGACAGGCTCACAGACTCACAGTCCCTGAGTGTCCACACAGGCACTGCTGGATAAAAGGTGAGGCATCTCCTTGGGGTTAAGCAGACAGGCAAAAATGTGGTTGGTTAGGGATGCCAGTAAGCACACACTTCATGTGATGTGAACATCTGGCCCATTGCCCTCCAGACAATTATGCCCACAGCAAGAGTGTGGGGTCTTGACATCCACTGCTGAATTCAGGAATCGAGATATGTGGCTAGATTTTTTTATTTTAATTTTTTTCGTCTGGGTGGGGGAGATAGCTTTTCATTTTACAAATGTTGGGATCCGTTCTAAAAATCAGTGATTCAGAAACACAGTGTTAGTGTCTGGAGAGATGGCTCAGCACTTAAGAACATGGACTACTCTTGTAGAGGACTCAGGTTCAGTTACCAGCACCCACACGATGGATCAAAACCACCAGTAACACGGAATCCAGTTCCCTCTTCTGGCCTCATCTGGCACTGCACACAAGGGGTGCCCATGCATACGTGCAAGTGACACTCATATACATAAAAACAAAACTAATATATATTTAAAAACCCCACAGCATTAAGCAAACAAGGATCTACATTCTTGTTCCTTTAAAGTGCCAGTTTGGGACTTCTGGCCAAAAGTCCATGTTTCAGAATGTGGCATTTAAGCATTCCTCCTGGTGTGATGATCCCTAGGGAGCAAAGAATGCTGCAAAAAGAGGAGCTGTTTATGTGCTGCTCTGTAAGGCACAGAGGGATTCTTTAAGTATTAAGAGAAAGTGTGTAATAGACACTTATGATCAATACTTTGAGACTCAATGGTGAGAAAAACCAAGTATTGAAAGTAACATCCATAGGGACTTAGGCAAATGGGATCGTGTTCTTGTGAAAACGTACTGACTGCAGGAGTCAGTTGCTGTTAAATACACAAGCCCACTAAACACTAAAGAGCAACCATGGACTCCTCTCACCTCACAGAAGACCTCACAATCACAGATGAATTCAGTTTTACATAAAATTTCAGAGATGAACTCTTTCAAACATGCCATGTTCTATATCATTCACCTTCCCCACCCTGAAATGATCACCTCTACCCTTTCCCATGCCAATAATTGATCATTCATTACATTCTGATCAGCTCCCACATCTCATCCCTTTCTGGTGGTGGTGGAGAACCTCAAACCTATTTGAGCTCATTTTACTTACGACCTCCGACCTGCACACAACCTTCTGCTCCTCTCAAGCAAATCTCTCTCCTCTCTGTCTCTCTGTCTCGCTGTCTGTCTGTCTGTCTCTCCCTCTCTCATCAGCTATGTGCTGTCATCTCATCATTTTCTTGTTTTGTCCATGACACAACATGCATTTATTATCCTGATAAACATTGGGGAGACTTCCATTTGTACACACAGATCGCAGATCTCAGTTATAATCTTAGAGGTGTCACTTAGGTAACTCCAAGAATAATCTGGAGGGAACAGGGAAACTGAGGATTACCAGGAGGCAATTGTCGTGGTCCAAGCAAGACATTAACATCTTAAAGTATGGATATAAAAGGAAGAAAATAGGCAGAACTAAGGAGACATGAAAAAAATCATGGTTGGATGGTTAATGTAATATGGGAGTTAAGGGAGAACAAATAAGTCAAAGTAATAGTCAGATGTATTTTTCAGGTCTGGGAATGGAACCCTGAACCTCACACATGCTAGGCATGGGATTTAGTATTGAGCTACAATGCACAACCTGATGCTTAGGAGTTTAACAAAGTCAATTTTCATTTAAGAAGGGGTTGGCTTCTCTGGGCTAGTTCCTTGTAGTGGAACTGATGATTAGATCTTTTTACTTCCTTAAATGCCCCCCTTCAAATATGACCATCTCCTCCAGGGGATTCTCTATTACATCAAAAATGAAACTCACTTTCCAGAACTAGAAATAATTTGTTTTGTTTTGTTTTTAACTGAAGCATCAAGCAGCTTTATCTCCTTTCTCTGGAGAATTAAGGTATAGTGGGAATAATTTTGATCTATTTAGCATACACCCCCATGGTAGAATTTTCACATTCTATATTAAGAACAGAAGTTATAAGGCCTAGAATTAACCCCAAGCCTGATCACAACGGGCTCTCTGGATGAAACTTTTTTAAAATTTAAATTAGAAACTAGCCTGCTTCACATGTCAATCCCAGCTCCCTCTACCTCCCCTCCTCCCCTGCTCCCCACCAGCCCTCCACCCCATCCCTTGCTGCTCTCCAGGGAGGATGAGACCCTCCATGTGGGATCCCCAAAGTCTGTCATATCATCCAGGGCAGGGCCTAGGCCCTCCCCCATGTGTTCAGGCTAAGAGCACATCCCTCCACATGGAATGGGCTCCCAAAGTCCATTTGTACACCAGTGATGAATACTGATCCACTACCAGGGGCCCCATAGTTTGCCAAGGCCTCCACACTGATATCCACATTCAGGGAGTCTAGATCAGTCCCATGCTGGCCTCCCAGTCATCAGTCTGGGGTCCATGAGCTTCCCCTTTTTCAGGTCAGCTGTTTCTGTGGTTTTCACAAGCCCCATCTTGACCCCTTTGCTCATCACTCCTCCCTCTTTGCAACTGGTTTCTAGGAGTTCAGTTCATTGTTTAGCTGTGGGTGTCTGCCCATGCTTTCGTCAGCCACTGATGAAGGCTGTAGGTTGGCATATATGGTAGTTATCAATCTCATTATCAGGGAAGGGTATTTAAAGTAGCCTCTCCACTATTGCTTAGATTGCCAGTTGGTGTCATCCTTGTAGATCTCTGGAAATCTCCTTAGTGCCAGATCTCTTCTCAAACCTATAATGGCTCCCTCTATTATGGGTATCTCTCATCCTGCTCTCCTCTATTCTTCCCCCAACTCAATATTCCTGCTCCCCCATGTCCTCCTCTCCCCTTCTCTTCTCCCTCTCCCTTTCTCATAGTTCCCTCTCCCCTTTCCCCATGCTCCCAATCCACATAGGAGATCCTGTCCCCTTCCCCTTCTCTGATGTACCATGCATGTCTCTCTTAGTGTCCTCACAGTTTCCTAGCCTCTCTGGCAGTTGGACAAAACATTTAGTGCCAGGAATGGTATTATAAAGAAAATTTCATACTCTACAAGGATGTTGGTGAACTGTCAATAAAAAGGAAGTTGCCCTACTAAAGATGATTCATTCAATAACATGGATTGCTCTAGGAAAGCAATGAGGAATAAATGGAAACCCAGCAATGCCCAAGCCCTTG